CCAGGAACAACCCACCCCCCCGCAGCCTGGGACATGGGGAGGCCACCCAGCTTTGCCATGCAAGTCAAGAGATGTGGGACCGTCAGCACCTCTGGAGGCACTTGGGGAAAACCTCCTCCACTCATCCTAGCGCGTCCTGGCGGCTCCTGATCCAGCAATGAGCCCCGCAGGAACTACAAGGGCAAATCCATCCCACCCCCCCACCGTGCTCGGCACCCCTTCCCTTGTGCCTCACCTGGCGCCTCGGCATTGAAGGCGATCCAGCGGCAGCTGGCCTTCACGTGGTTCCCGCAGGACGCGACGGAGCCCGCTCGGATACCCCCAATCCAGGCCTGGGATGGAGAGGGAAAACCCACATCAGGAGGTGCCTCTGTTTCGGAGGGGCCTGGTGCTGTGGGGGGGGCACGGCTGCACTGGCACAGCACAGCTAGAGACCCTCAGCCCCAACAGGGCTCCCACGCCGCTGGACCTGGCACTACCCGGAGGCTGCCAGAACCAATGGAGTTGTGCCAGGGGCACTTTATCGGGCCCCATCCTCTGGAAGGGCTGGGACAACATGGCTACTCACGCTCTCTGCGCGAAGCGCAGCCCCTTGCTGGGGCTGGGAGCTTTGGGGTCAGCACTGCCAGGGACGGGAGACAGGAGCATCCCGGCTCCCAGTGCTGCCTCTCTCCGAAACTGTCCCAGCCCTGGGCTTTCCCATGGTGGGAAAGGCTTAGAGGACTGGGCAATAAACTGGTGTCGGGGAATTTGGGATGGGACAAAAGCTCTTGGGCTGCAAAGCACCACAAGGTCAGGCCGTGGCTGACTGAGGCAGATAATGCCTCTGACAGCATGCTTCCCCCACGGACAAAGAACTTCATTACAGCTCCAAAACGAAAATCCCGCTTTGCAGTGTTTCTCACTACTACTCCATGGCCGAGCACTGCGCCGGTGGGGCACCGGGACACCCTGCGTCAGCCAGACCCGCTCCAGGGGACACAGACACCTGGCTTCGAGTGGCCACCAGGACCAGCAGCTCCCTGGCACACCCAGTGCCAAGTCCCACCCCCGATTAAGGGCAACCGCTGGCGGGTTCACCACGGCCCACAGGCCG